CCGGGCTCTGAAGATCACACTTCTCAGAATCGTTTCGCTGTAGGGCCGCCGTCCCCCTCCGGAGTCTCCGAGCCTTCGAGCGACTTCGACTCCCGGAGGCCTTTGCGGCCGACTAGGGTGACTACGTTTCCCAGAGGCCTCTGCGGCGCCGCCACCGGAAGCGGCGAACGAGTCGAGTGTCCTTGCGCGCGGAGCCGAGGGACCATGGTGCCCCGAGTGTGGTCGCTGATGAGGTGCGTGGGGCCGCCGGGCGGGCTCGGAGCCCCCGAAAAAGTCCCCGCCTGTGGGCACCCCCTCCGGTTTGCTCCCGATTGGATCTTCGAATTCCGTGGTGTCAGGTCCCCCATCGCCCAGATGGGGAAACTGAGGTTCAGGCGGGGAGGGGCTTCCCGAGATCTCCTGTCGCCTCCTTCCCGCGTCCCAGCGAACCCTTGCCTCCTGATTGTCTGTGTCCGAGACCCCTCGGAGCCTCAGTTGCCTCCTCTGTAAGGTGGGAATGCCGCACGCGCTGTTTCAGGAAGTTAACTCGTGCCCAGAGCGACGTATGACATACAAGAAATGACCGGGGTCCCTTGGAAGCCCCTCGAGGGTCGCGCTCGGGTCGTGCCTCCCGGGGCTGGAAGACAGGAAGTCAGGGGTCTTAAGTCTTCACCATTCCCTGCTCTGTGCGGGATCACGCGTGACCCACGGTCCCCCTCCGGGACTTAGTTTCCCAGGTAAACGGGGCCGAGTAGCTCCGCTTTGCAGGGTAAATTGAGTACAACACTCAATGGGCGTAGTAGGCGTCAGGCAAGCCTCTGCGCTTCCAAAGTGCCTTCCGCTGCCCGGCTTCAGGTGTGGCGCTCTGAGGACTGTGGCAGCCCCGGGAGTCCAACTCCTCCCCACAGTGGGCCTGGAGCCCCGAGGGTGGCCACTGGCGTCCCATGAGCTACTGAGCTGCTGTCCTTCCCTTCTCTGCCTGCAGGTTCCTCATCAAGGGCAGTGTGGCCGGGGGTGCCGTCTACCTGGTGTATGACCAGGAGCTGCTGGGGCCAAGTGACAAGAGCCAGGCTGTCCTCCAGAAGGCAGAGGAGGTAGTCCCCCCAGCCCTGTACCAGTTCAGCCAGTACGTGTGTGAGCAGACAGGTCTGAAGATACCCCAGGTACCCTGGGACTGGGAGTGAGGCTGAGGCTTGGGGGTGGGGGCCGTGGGGGGGAGTGCGGTGTCAGTTCTGGGGTGGCTTTTGGTCCCTGGTCCCTCCAGCCCTGCGTGGTGTTCTCTGCAGTGGGCTTTGTGCTGCTTTCCGCTGCCTCCGGAGGGGGCTGGGGCTCCTGGGCCCTCCCCTTTTCACCCGCCCCTTCTCCCCTCTCTTCCCAGCTCCCAGCCCCTCCAAAGTTTAACTTTCACATCCGCGACTCCTGGAATTCAGGTAGGCCCCGGTCCCTGGGCTTGGGGGTGGCGGCCCCTGATACCCCAGTCAGCACCCCCTGCCCCCATTTCCTGGCCCTTCCTCTCCATCGTTCTCCTTCCTGCTCTGTGCACCCCCTGCAGATCTAAGCGAGGACAAGGGGTGGAGATTTCAGGGGGGTGGGAGCAAGATAGAGCCTCCGTTGAAGACAGGTCACTTTGGAGCTCACCGTGTGACTTCAGACAAGGCGAGGCCCTGCCCCATCTCTGCCTCAGTTTCCCCGTGTGGAACTGACCAGGCTGGAACTGGGGCCTCTCAAAGCCTTGCGGAGCTAGGGTTTCCGGGGGGAGCGGGGAAGCGGTGGCTGAGCCCTGTGGCTGAAGGCACTGGGCCCTCCCTCCCCACAGGCATCATTAAGGTGATGTCGGCTCTGTCGGCGGCCCCCTCCAAGGCTTGCGAGTACTCCAGGGAGGGCTGGGACTACCTGAAGGAGCGAATCAAGTAGCCTGTCAGAGGAGGCCACCTGCCCCAGCCAGGAACAGGGGCAGGGATGCCATAGAGCTGGAGACTCCAGACTGGGACTGAGACCCCACGCCAAGGGCAGCTCCCGGCCTTGCTGGCCCAATAAAGGACTTTGGAAGTGTTCCCGACCCGTGTGCTTGCCCTAGGGGCTTGGGGTGGCCCGGCTGGTGCCAGAGTGCAGGGACCTGGGCTTCTGGTGCCTAGCGGCTCGTCAGAGCTTAACTTTGACCACAGGCATTGGTTCACCCCTTTGCTGTCTGGGCCCTGCCCTCTGAGTCCCCAGCCTGGTGTGGGGGTTGAGAGCCGACGCTTGGCCCTGGTGCTCTGTAGGCAGTGCTCCGGGCCCAGGAATGAGCAAGTGCTGATGGCCCGCCCAGGTTGGGGGTCTCAGTTTGCGGAGGGCTGAGCCCCTGGTGGGGCGGTCTGGAGGTGGGGACTCGGCAGAGTGAGCAGAATTCATCTGTCTCCGTGGCCGGGAGCTCGTGTGGCCGCCCAATCTCTGACTGGCTCAGCTCACTGATCACCCGTGTCTAGTCTAGTCCTGGCCCTCCCTTGCCTGCTTTCCACCCTCAATCCCCCATGGTCTGGGGATTCCTGGGGACCGCAGGCTTCACGGTCATTGCAGTGGAGGGGGGCTCCCCGGCCCACAGAGGTCCTGCCTTCCCAGCGTCCCCTGCTCCCCTGGGAAGCCTTTCTGCCCTGGATCAGCTGCCTGGTGACCTGAGTGTTCTTCCCCACCCGGCGGGACAAGAGGGCGGACCCTGAAAATACTCCCAGCCCCGAGGGCATCCCACCATGATGGCAGCGGGAGGAAACCTGTGCCCCAGACGGGCAATAGGCCGTGGGCTTGGGTGGGAGGCAGAGACTGGCCCGGGCTGCTGCTCCAGGAGCGGAGACCAGGCCTGGGTAATGGTGCCCTGAGCTGGGATGGGATCCCCCGTGCCTGAGAGTTGTGGGAGTTCTGTTGCTTGGTCTAGTGGTCGGGCTCCCATAGGCCCATGAGCAAGGAGAGGACGGCGGTTACACGTGAGGAAAGCAGAGACCAGAAGCCACGACGTTCTGCAGGCCCTTCGGGGATGAGAAGCTGGCGCAGGTCCACGGGAGGTGTGGGGAGGGGTGAGGTAGGGGATGGGTGGCCTGGCCTGCTGCGTTTGGGGAGGGAGAGCCCAAAGTGACCTGCCACTCTGCTTTCCAGGGACAGTGTAGGTGGGCCCCCCGTGGCCAGTGGGCCCCTCCCATCCTGCCTGGGCCGTGGCAGGGGTAGGAGCAAGTCTAGGGCAAGGGCAGGACGAGTGGGGCCGGGGAACATCCCTGATCCTTGGGACCTCCCAGGAGGGAGCAGGCCCAGGTTCAGAGGTGAGCCCGGTAACGCACCCTAGCCTGACCCCCCCCCCCATCCACGGAGCCCTTCTACAGGGAAGGAA